TTTGCACATCAAACTTGGGACACTTAAGGCTTTTAATAAACATTTTTTACAGAGGAAATGTGGCAGTGGCCCACAATAATGGGAAAATAACTTGGGATTAACTGTTTGCTAATTGAGTACTTTGAATTTTTTGCCAAATAAATTATATTGTAGAACAAGGTTTTCAAGCAGAAGTGCTACAGAGCAAATCACAGGGCAGGAAAACCTCATGTATCTTTGTGTAAAAAGAACAGAGACTGGTGTAGTGCACATGCAATATATTTTAGATATAAAATATCCACAAGGTATTTTTGCAGCATTCCTCTACATGAAAGTTGAACAAAGCTAACGGAGCAGTACAGTTTTACTCTGGGATAAATTACTGTTGTTTTCTATGCAAATCTTATGATTGTAATTAGGCTGGGATTTGAAGTGCTGTGTACGCCAATCTGTGTTCCTACTGTGCATGGGATCTAATTCCAGTGCTGCAAAACAGCACAGCAAATGTTGAGTGCTGCTCAGCCAACAGTCATTTCTTGCAGAGCATCTTTCCTTGAAGTGGATGTTTTAAAAGGAATGATTGCCTTCACAGGGCACATAAATCGTACTGCAGGCATCTTGTTGGCCACTGAAGTGTTCAGGTGCTGTAAGTCTTGCTTGAAAGTAGAGGTTGGAGAAAATGCAGGACTACCTGACAGGCATCTAGTTTTTAGCACTGGGTTTTAAAAAGTGGTGTTCTGCCACGGATTGGTCGAGGAGCTGGTGGTATGTTCGAGCTATCATGACAGTGATTGCAGTTCCTAGTATGGCTATGTATAGCTCCTGTTATCTCTGCAGCTGGACTTTGTTTAACTGCAGCCTGTGGCTCCTTGCCCACGCTAACGAGCTCTCCTCAGCGCTAGTCTTGTGCCTGTGGGGTGGCACTGTGCTCTTACCGTGCTGCTGTTTTGGAAACGTGACTTTGTTAGCTGTACTCAAGTCCAGCCTGCCCGAGCAGCTTGGCTACTGCTGGCCACGGGAGCTTGTCCCCATGCAGCGTGGCTGGCTCCAGAGCGAGCTGGCGGAGGAGGCAAGCTGTAGTTTGCAGCAAAGGAGAGCTGTCACAGAGACCTAGACCTGGACTGGGGTGAAGCGCCAGCATAGTGAGAACGGTACAGGTGAGCCACACTCACAGCTCATTCTTGTCCCTGGGAATGCTGATGACTGTTTTGGTCAGCCCATGTGGTGGGAGTGCATCCTGCAGGCAGCAGGGTGTAATTTTTCCGTTGACCCAAACTGCAGGGGAAAAGCACGTCTGCCAGCCATGCCTCCCTGTGGCTGGGCAGAAGTAGGAGCAGATGCATTCAGGCACAGGGGTACCAGGCTGGGGACATACAGGACATGTATCCTTCTCTTAGCTTGTCCAGCAGGGCATGAGCAGGGGTAACAAGCTGGGATGTACAGGAGATTTACCTTTCTCTTAGCCTGTTTGCAGGGCATGAGCACCTCGTCCATGCAATAAAGTGGTGGTTGCACACCTGCAACCTGGTCAGAGTCTGGACCTGCACCTGTGCTGGGCTCTTCTGTATGTGTGCCTCCCCAGTGCTGTGATGGAATTCAGCAATTTAAGAATCTTAACCAGCTACAATATCTGCTAACTTGTGTAGTTTTATCTGCAGATAGATAAAAAAGCATTCTTTGGAACTTTTTCCGACTCATTGCAAAGACGGAGAAAGTACAAAGAAATACCCTCTGGGGACAATATATCACTGCTGCTTTAAAGATATAGTAAATGACACAATATGTTTTTTAACAGCTTGTAACTCCTGTGAATCTCATTTATTTCTTTTTGTTGCCTGCTATCTAAATCACAGCAAAGCAGAGGAATGGGGGCAGTTTTAGTTTTTCTTTCATGCTTGCACATTATCAAGTATTCCTGTAAACATGATATTGAATCCATTAATTTTGCTTGTGTAAATGCAATTTAAGGAAGCAAGGAATCTGTAAAAGCATCCACAAAAAGCAGAAAAAAACCTTCACAGGTGATTTTTCTAACCAAGTGTATTTAATTCCTAGTGCTAACACAACCAAGTGTGTGTTGTTTCCATAGCTGGATGCTCCATTATGTCAAAATAGGTTAGAGTGTGTTCTGAGGCAGTTATTGAAAAAATGACATGTTGCTTAAGCAGCTCAGTTAAAAGTGGACATAAAATCTGTGTGAGCTTTGCAAACCAGTGCCATGGTGCAGCTATGATAATGCATACTTTCTTCACCAATGCCATCTGTAGTTTAGCATTCAAATACATAGGATCGTGACTTGGTCTGTAGTTGCCTCTGAGGAAGAATGTGAACTTGACAGTTTTCTGTTAGCTCAGGGGGAAGAAATTACAAAGACCCCCACTCCCCAGGGTAGTCCTTGAAGTTATCCTTTAGGGTAACTATCCTGTCCTTCTGTTACACCTGGCAATTTTTAGTGTGCAGTAAATTCAGAGTCAGGGATATTAACATGCTGGTGTGGGGATAGAAATGCTGCATAGTGAATGTAATTTTGGGATGCCTGTTAAATAGCTAAATCATCTAGTTATCTTCACATCACATGTAATGAAACATAGAAGATCCCAGAACAAGCCTTTGGCAGGTCTGGATATAGTTCAAGGTGCCGCAGATCAGAATCCCAAGCTGGACTAGCAAATTGCTTAAAAAAACACTTCCAGCACTTTTCATTCAGTGCTAGCTGATGGCTTCCTGAGGCCGTTTGAGTGTGCCATCTGGAGAGTCATCTCTGTAGCCGCTAAGCTCAGTGGCATGCTCGACACCATTTAGATGTAAAGCAATCCCTAATTAATGGAGGAGCTCCTCCCAAGCATCTAAACCTCATGAATCATTTCAGACCTTACATCTTGGCTCCAGAGGTACAGGGTGGGTTAGCTGGTGGGGCTTGAGTGCCTAATTTGGAGGCCACTTCAAGGGAGACCCTTTTTCCCTGCTTTCCCTTTCCAGCCTTTCAGTGAGCTTCCCACCCCAGGGTGGCTGGAAGGTTTGCTCAGGAGCTCGGTAATGATGAATCACAGAGGCATGGCACAGATTGATAAGGTCGTGTACTTTCTGATTAGATACATCCTCTCTTGAACAGCAGTTCTTTGTCTCCATTTTGCTTTTGGTAATGTTTTTCAGCAGTTTGCATACAACAACTCTCCAAGCAGGAGCTGTTTGACTTGAGACAAAGTCGCTATTATTCTAGGTAAGCTCAGGAAGCCATCATAATTTTGTTGCCTTCAGAAGACATAGATTGATGGGAATTTATTTAAAAGTGAGTTAAGTTAGATCACCAATAAAGTTTTCTCTTTTCTTGCAGTCTCGCTGTAAAGGACTTTCAGGTACATAAACCAGTGTGTAACAAGAAGAATCTGCCTTGCAGCTGTATCATTTATTTTTTGTGCATTGTAAGTGATGGCTGTAGAGTGCTATGTTCTTTATCTGTAGCACTAGCAAAAACCCATGTATTTCAGCTGTTCATAGTGCAGGTGTGCAGTCTGGGAGCCATGGCAAAAGAAAACTATTACATGGTTCCCAAACTGGAAATTACGGAATACTGCAGTGCCTGCAGCCAGACCAACATGCAAGTCTTCCTCCTCAGTTAGAGTTGATGGAGAGCCCAGAGCACTCAGTACAAACACTTCAGGTTTATTTGGGGAGATTTTGGACTAGGTTCTCGAGGCATGTAATTTAGTTAAGTGCCTGCTTGTGTTTACAAACTGAAGCCTTTTTGAGCTACCCTGAATATGGCATTTGTGGTGCTACTGGCCTTTCTTGAAGACCATCTCCAGTGTCTCTCTAAGCAGTATCGCATGAGCCCTTACGCTTCTCTTGACCTCTCTTTAGCTACAAGCTAAAGCTACAAGCTACAAGCTAAAGTTACAAGCTACAAGCTAAAGAGAAGGCTCACCTCTCTTGCTGTGTCCCATGGCTCCCTTGGACTCTCCTGGGCTGTTCTGGCTTCCCTCCTCTGCTCTTTATTGTTGCTTACTGAATAGGCTTGCTCAGCAGAGTTTTCAGAAGTAAACCAAAATGAGGTAGTCATGGATGACCAATATCAGCTGTTCCTTTTAATTCAGTTGTGAAGTGTTGTTGGCTCACTGGCTTGGTTTCTACTGTCTATAAAAAGGTTTTGTGCAAGAAGTCCCCTTTTTCTCATCGCCTTGTGTGACACCAGTGCCAGGATGACCTTCTGCTGGAGAGTCTCATTGCTCAGTTGTGTTGCTGCTCTGTATGAGTTTCCCTGGCAACCACTTTGAGCTACACTGAACCAAAAATACCTCACTGTGCTGAGGGAAAGTCAGTTTGCAGACATGTATTTCTCATTAATGACTTCTCTGGATGGTTTGTGTGTTCAGCCTGCAGATGTCATTACTGCAAACCAATGACTGGGAGACGCAGCGTGCCCCTTCTGCTTACTTCTACAGGCAGCGTAGTCTATGAGAAGGCTGCCCTTGTGTGATTGACAACTGAGTTGTCACTGTAAGACTCATCGTACTCATTTTTCATGGTACAATGAGGTTCTTGTCTTCTATTGAGAATGATATGTGAAGGCTCACAAAGTTACAGTGATCTTTCTTGGACGCCTTGTATCTCTGTAAATTACCTTGGTTGTTATTATTACTTGCAAATTTACCCTTCTCATTTCTATATAAACATATGCACCTCGATTTATAGGTGTGTGTGCTGCAAGCTCCAGCTTTGCTGCCATTCTAGTCTTCAAAAGCATGGCTTGCGACACTTCCAAATAAACATTTATAAATCTTTGAAGGTCAGGACCCACCAATTTGCACAGAAGAGAATGCACAAACTGGAGGTGTTTTTTCAAAGCATTCTTGTTCAGTTTTGGATTGCAAATAGTCTTTTCTCTACCTAAGGTAGAAAAGTGGTGTGAAGAAAAGCATTGGTAATACCAGATGTGTTCTCAAGTTGACAGAATTAGAAAAGGCTATATTGGAGAGCAGTATGTCATTTTTATTAACAAGCTACCTTTTCTGGATTTGTAGGGTGTGAGGATTGTGGTAAAAGCCTTATAGGAGAATGCAAACTCCACGGACCACTCATCAGGGCTAAAGACAGGGTTATTCCTAGCCGAGCCCGTCTCACCCTACCTCATTACCTCACTTTACGAGTGTTGGAGCTGCGAGCTGGAAACCAGCAGAGTAAGTGTTTTAGCTCTTTTTCCCACATTTGAGAAAGAGGAGGCAAAAGGACTAACACTGGCTTTTTTAATGAGTAACTCAAGTCATAATCACTGGCTATTAACATTATGAAGATTACTTTATTTTCAGCTGAGCAAAACTAAAGCTCACATTCAGCTACTGTTTTTTTATGACTGACTTCTAGTAACTTCAGTGCACTGATGAAGACTGATGGTAGGACATTAGCCAGACCTGGTGTGACATTTAGCTGTGAGCAGTTAGCTCTGTCAGTCAATACAAGTTTAATGAATGTTGAATTTGTGTCTAATAATAGCATGCACTATTACATTATCTTTTTTTTTCTTTTTCCTAAGCATGCAAAACAGGAAAGAGTGTTTGATAAGATGTCAGAAACAAAATGGTAAATAGCATCCCTCATCCACCCCCTGCAAAATCAAAACAACACAGGGGGTTAATTTACCTTTCGCACCATCTTCAGTTCATATTCTAGAACGACTGTTGTTTCCTTCAGAGGGCAGGGCAATTTGAATGGCCACACTTGAACATGGGAACAACATCTTTAGTGTGCAAATTTTCCAAAGCTATCTTGTGTAAACTTAGACCTTCCTAGATTGCGTTTCAGAAGGAGAATGACATGATGTGTACTGTGTCACACCATTGGTATTAGGCAGCGGAATAAATAGAATGATTAACACAACTAATGTTGTGTTTTATAAATTCTCTTCACTCACAGTGGGCGAGAACAACCTCTAATTATGTCAACAAACAGAGCACTATGATAACATCAGCTTTTAGATTGAAAAGTATCAACACATTCATGTTGCATACTCAGTTTAATATCCTGTCATGATTTTAGGCACTTTCGTATTCAGTGTAATGCCCATTTTAAAAAAAGCTTTGTGCATATTTAAATCCTTTTTTATATTCTTTCCATTAGAATTACTTACCTGGGTTATTTGTCTAGAAGAAGAATCCATGTGTTCTGCCCTATTGTGTTTTATCTCCATTTTCACAACTGTCAATATACAAGAAATAATTTGTTATCTATATGTTAACATTAGACTTATATTTTTTTTTATTCATAGTCCTTGGAGTATTTGCAAAGAAAGTAATACAGAAGAGAACACAGTTTGGTCCTTATGTTGGTCAACTGTCTACAAAACTGACCTGCTCTGATGACAGCAGGCTAGTCCTGCAGGTAAAAACCCAGTGACTTACTATAAAGTGTGGATGTTTCTTTAACAGTTCATATTCATGTATTTTAACCAGTTCATATTCATGTCATTTAACCATTCAGTTTGCTGTCTGATTTTGTGAATTAATTTTACTCCTGATCTGTATGTATGAATGCAAATCAGATTATTGGACAGCACAGCATAACCTGAAGTACCAAAATGTTAATTTATATTGTGTTTTCTAGAGGTTTGCATTCCTGCTTTCTAGTTTTGCCACTTTCAGAGTGATTTATCTCTCAGTCTGACAGCTCTTCATAATTCACAGAGAATGGCTACTGAAAGTATCCAAGGATAGTACTGTCTACCCAGATAAAAAAAATAGGATTTATGCTTAACACCATACCATTGGGAGGGTTAAGCTTATTCACTGAGTTAGCAATAGTGACAGAAATATGTGCTAAGACACCTGCTTAATAGGCAGGAACAGTGCAGGGATGGGGAAACACTTTTTAATGATGTGGTTATATATAAACTTTGACACACCATGCACTAACTCAGTTTGTTTAGTTAGGTTGTTATTTGGGCTGGTACCATCCCTTGTTGCATGTGCAGATACTGATCGTCTCATCTGGACTGTGACGTTGTTGTTTGCGCTTTATCCAGTACAAACCATGGTCTCTCAGGACCAACCTAGCTTAGACACATCTACATGCACATGCTTTCCCACATGAATTCCTTGGGAGTGATATTTGATTGTAATCCTCTAGACCCATCTTTGCATTTTGCTGCATGGGATCATGCCTGGGCACCCCTCTCTGTCATACGGCAAAACTGTGGTCAAGCCACAGCCTCTATCAGGACTGCATTTTGAGTCAGGTCTTCTCACCCCCTCAGAAGAGGGGGACAAGCAGCAGCTGTCCTGTGACATGCTTTATGTTTTCATTTGGGCTGTCTCCAGAGGCTTGGGACTGGAAAACACTGTGTGTTGTGGAGGAGGGCATAGATACAGATACTTCCGTAGTTGCATTTGAGAGCAAAAGTAATTAACTTCAGTAATTGCTGTAAACTTCATTTGCTCATGGAAGTCACGTGAATGGTCTTCCAGGAAAGTAACACTAGCCTTCTGTGGAATTTTCATGGCTTGTTGACACCAGAGAAGATTTGTTCTTCTCCATAAATAAATCTCTTCTTTTTATGAGACACTTTAATTGTTATGTGGAATTAAACGTACTTCTGTAACAAGCAGAAACTAGTGCTTCTCTTTCTGCAGCAAATGTACTTCTCTAACCAGCCTGCAAGCATGGATGAGCTAAGCACGCAGTTCCTTCCTCTTCACCAAGGCATTGTAAGCCACACCCTATCCTCTATCAGTCAGCTGCATTTGCTTAAAAGCTTACCGTGGTAAGCATAGCTCTGGCTGATGAATGGACTGTTTCTTCAGAAGAGTCCAGTTTTCCTATATGACAGCAGTGGCTGCCTTGATTCTCCCGAGCAGCATTTTGAGTATGTGACCAGACTTGTCCAAAAGCAGATGTCTTCATCAGACACATGATGAAGTTTGATAAAATAGTTCCCGCAAGCAATGGAAGTACAGCGGGTTTTTTTTGCAATTAATTGCTCAGTTACATGATTGGTAGAACAGATAAGTGCTGTGCTGACATCTATTGTGCAGCTTCAGCTGTCCATGTTTAAGACTATATTGCAGAAAAGCAATGGCCTTATATGAGGGTGAGAGCATTTGTCTTGGAGATGCAATGTCTTGGAAAGGAGTCTCAAAGAATGAAGTAAAGGAAAAAAGATCTTTCTGACACAATTGTTCATTTGTATTTACTTTTACATTGTTAAGGGGAAAAAGAGAAGACTGTTAAAATACCATTATATCGTATGTTACCGCTTTGGACTTATTACACAAGTTATACAATTGTTCCACTCAAAATGTAGCATGAATACAGCATTGAAGTTTGAGATTATCAAGTACTCAGGAAGTACATTAAGGCATAAAGCTTATCTTTCTACCTGCCTGCACTTAGTTCTTATAATATTATCTTTATATAACACAAAAACGATGAAATATAAACTGGAAATACAAAAGCATACAGTTACTTTAGTAGTTGGGTGCTCAGCAGGTATTCATTCTTCACTTTCCTTTGCACTAATAACTGATAACTGTGATTCTGATTTAAAGAAAACTATGTGCCTCTGTACAGGGCTTTGTTTTATTATGTTCCTTCTCCTGTCCTCTTCCTTTGTTTCAGGTATTGAAAGATGGGGGGAAGTATTTTCTGGACACTCCCAATGAAGACTGTGGAAACTGGATGATGTTTGTCCGGCTAGCCCGGAACCAAGAAGAACAGACCCTTGTGGCTTATCAGCACTGTGGAGAAGTCTACTTCACAACTGTTAAGGTACTTAAATCCACATTGCTTCATCCGTCATCCAAATGGAAATTTATAAGCAAAGTTTCTGAAAGACTAACACTTTTACAGATGAAAGATTGATTGTATTCTGCTAAATAGATCTTTATTATATACCACCTTTTACATCACTTAATCTGTAATAAAGCAAGCAGCATATGGCATTTTCCAGTAAAAGGTGGTGTGTATTTGCTGTTGTGGGTAGTGAATAAACCAAGCAGAGGGAAACAGAAATATCATTTGTGATGGCAGTGTTTAAATATGAATGTTGGAACTTCTTCAGTTCCAGATACGTATATAAGTGAGATTATTTAGCATTGTTATATTCAACAGTACTTCATCCTGGAAAGAACAAACACATTCCTTTCCTTTATTACATTTTTGGATACAAATTCCAAGCACATTACCAGGTGCTCAGGCACCGGTGCTGAGTAGAATCTTTACATGCTATTTTCTGTGCTGATTAAAGCTCTGAAAACTTAACTGCAGAATTTACTGCAATGTTACCATGAAATGTGCAACTGTGATAGAGATTCTGAACTGTGCCTTTGAGGAGATAGAACAAAGTACTCTATATTTTTAAAAGACAGTGGAACATTGAGTCTTGTGTTTTGTTTTGGCCACTTTCTCAGGCAAGGTTTGTTTTAATCAGAACTTACTGTTTCATACCCTTAGGAAAATGAAGTCTGTATGTCGAACATTTGTTTTCCTAATTTTTAAGTTGATGCTTGTATATCACTGTGAGCAACATTTAAAAAAAAAACTGGTCAAAATAAGTTATAAATCCACCATTTCAATTTAATTTCCAAGATTGGCGTGTATCTCTGTGGCTATCCCACAGAAATGTATTTACTTTTGTTCCTCCATTTTTGTTTTCCACCTGCATGGTGAGAAAAATATTTACCACACAGTGATGATGTGAAAGTAAGTTAGTAGTGATAACATTTCACGCCTTCAAAGTCCTTTATAACAGTATGAAGCATAGTTGCTTTCGGAGTCATATTAATTACTTTTTTAAAAAGAAAATCAATGTAAACCAGTATATGCTAATCTGAAACATTGTTTAGGCTGTGCAGTCCATACCATTCATGATTTCAGTTTGATTTTAAATGCATGCTATACTTGTAGAACTGATAGGATCAATAATACTGTATTTGGAAAGCATGAACAAATTTTTTCTAAGGAGTTGTAGTTATGAACTGGTAACTTGCAGTTTCCAGTATAATTTATATACTATTGATCCAGCTCTCTGCTGACTTAAGCAGAACTCTCCTCATTGGCATTAATGGAGAGTTGCATCCTGACATGAAGAGTATCTTAGGATGAAGAATATGTCTTGGAACCTTAACTATGCTGTGTATTATAGAGAATGATTTGTGGTTTATTTCTGCTAAGTCTCAGTGTCCTTCGGGCATCCTGCAGATTTTGTCCTGGTCAGTGAAAGTGACAGCCTTTTGTTACACGTAGGCACACCCTGCTGGTCATAGCATGAGCCTGCCTTAGGGTTTGTTATGAAGGTGTTTCCTCAAAATACTTTGAATAAAGTCTGTTAAATTGGCAGCAAAAGGATTGGCTTCTCTCCCCACTGTTCCACAAAGAGATGGGATTTCGGTGACTTGAAACTGCAGCTACAGAAGCATACATGCAAGTGGCATGCTAACAGCACCATTAGCATACTTGCTGAACTAATGACTGCAGTCCCTAGAAATAAGTACTTTTTTAAAGTATAGAATTGTGAGGAAGTAAAAATAATCTGCAATTCTTGGTCTAATCACAGGAAGGTTTCATGTGGGCACTGCCATCACTTTCTCCTATTGTCACAGGTGACAGTAAATGACAACTTGTTGTGGATTCAGATACTGGTATTTAATCTCAGTTTTACTGAGATCAGAGCTTTTACCTTACGCTGATGCACTTGCTCTCCCTCCAAGTCACACTGACTAGGTCTCAGCTTCCCACAGGGGAGATCACTGCTTGTCCAGGAGTGTCAGGCAGAAGGTCATGACAGTATCATGCTGTATAGCTGTTCGTGGATACCAGTCTCAGGGGTCACCGGCCAAGGTCCTGGGGCACCTCCAGGCATTTGTCACTCTGGAGCTTCCCCAGGCTTGGTTTCCTCCATCTGAACAGACTATATGCAGGAGTGGAATGGATGATCAGCCTCCTAGTTGGAGATGGCCCTGCCTCTTGTCTTTTATTGAGTAGAAAATTCAGCACGTACCGTTTCTGTTTAGGCCAGGTATTAATCAAAACATACAACCAACCCATAGTGGTTGTAGTTGGGAAGCAGGCTTGTGCTTGGGAGTTCAAAGCAGCTTTTGACATTATGCACGCAATTACCTGTCATTTGTCAGCATTCACGATCTAAGTTGTCTTTCACCTACCACACTTACCCAACACCAGTGGTATAAAATAAGTGCATTTTAAAATGTCCTATTTGTCATGTGGAATAAGACTCAGCTGCTCTCCTTCCATGTTAGTTTGTTCTTTTCAGTGGCACAAGTTTAGCTTAGTTAAAAAAAACTAGAAGTACAGTGCAGATTGGCTCTACCGCTGTTGCAACAATGTTGGGTTTTATTATAGATGGAGAAAATAGGGTACAGAGCTGGAGCGTCATATAAATCGTGACCCCAAAGTTCGTTCTCTCTTTTAAGTAACTAATAGATCTTTAGCCAGTGAGTGTAATCATCCCTCTCTTTTTCTATTTGCTGTATTATTGACTGAAAGTATTTGTCAGAGGAGGTCATAGTCCAGTGCAAGGAAAGATTTGGGCAGGCATGACTGAATGAGAGACTGCAGATTATGGGCTCCCACAGTCCTGTGTGTGAAGGCTTCAGTGAAAAGAGGGCAGAGGTACAGTAAAGCACATGCATAGTGAGCCTGACACATTAGAGCTAGTGCATGGATACATGCAAATTTCACTTGCAGGTCACATATTGATCAGCACTGTATCCGTGCTCAGTGAGTGCAACATAACCCAAAGGCATCCAAGCTGTTGTGCATTCATGATGCATTTTTCCTTTGCCTGTACCTGTAGTTAAGCGTTGTGTCCAGTAGACTTTGAGATAAAAAGGAATAGGCATAGGATATTGTTTGGAAAGGTTGCTGGATGGCTGGACATCACAGACAAACACATTTCCAACCTAGTTGATTCTGTGATCTCACTGAGCAAAGGTCATGAGGGCTGAGACACTGCTCCTGCTACTCTCCCTCACAGTCTGTACATACACATCTCCGCTTTAGAAACTGTGAAAGTGACAAGCCCTAGGGGATAGTAATGCTCAAAAAGTGCTTAAATATTGAAACTAAGTTACCAAAAATTTAAAGAGATTCAAAGAATGCAACTTGGGTAAGGACAAAAATTCCCACACTCCCACCCCTCCAATCTTGCATATTATTTGATGTCGGAAAACTGACACAAGTAAACATGTGCCATTTTCTTCCATTCACAGCCAATTGAACCACACACGGAATTGAAAGTATGGTATGCTGCCGATTATGCCAAATTTATGGAAGTTTCTGCAGTCTTCATTAAAGAAGAATCTGATGTCTGTCCTTTGCCTCCAGTAGCAGTAAGTACCCATAATCTGCATATAAACCAACACCAGACATAGTAAATTACGATTTATTTACATGCTGTCTCTGTTTATGTAACTCATGTAATGCTAAGGTAGACCACAAAGCCAAGAGCAATTTTAACCAAACAGCTACTCAGAGAAAGGCTACTCTTCCTGTGTTTGTTATCCAATGGAGCCATTAGATGTAGCCACAAGTAAGTGGGATGTGTTGGAAAGACTCATTTATAGATAACCAAGCTGTCCAGCCTCAGACTTTTTTCATCAGGTCTCCTTTGTTGTGCTTTGTCCAGATGGTCAGCTGATGCACTGATTATTTCAGTCTTTCCTGTGCTGTAACTTTTCTAATTCTAATACCTTCCCCTCCTATGACAATAGGAATCCTTAAACTGATAGGAAAAATCGTTATGTGTTGAAAATGTGGCCATGAAGATGGATACCTAAGCTAGAAGGAAATGTTAAACAGGGAATACAAATGAACCAGGAATTCAGAGGTGCTACAAGAAGGGAAGTAATCCCATTGCTGCTTTCATGTATGAGGCCCAGAAAGAAGGTTTAGGAGGGCCACAGCATCAGACGTGGGTAAGAGAGGCGGGCTCAATCTGTAATTACAGACAGGGTGGACATAGACTCACCATGCTCTCCAGAGCAAGATAGCCCAAAAGCAAGGGAAAATAAATACAGGTTATGAGAAGGTTATGTAAAACATAGAGACACCTAAGAAAGTACATGGTCGTGTATTAATTTGAAGTATATTTTGTCAGTGACTGGGGTTTTTTTGTAATTGTTTTTCTGTGGAATTTTTAGAATGTCAATATTTAAAGTGAATTCAGCTGAATCCAGTTTAACTCATTTTCCACAGAAATAGTACTTTCAAATAATGCACTGTTTCGCAAAAAACAATAATGCCTCAAAATCAGGATAGGCTTGAGATGCACAAACCAAAGGTGGTGTTGAATTTAAGGAGGTCAGATGCCAAATGCAAGGAAGTCTGGCCTGGCGACATTGCCCGTTGTTGTCTAGTAAATCATGGAGTCAGCCCAAAACATAGGGAAATCCTGTATGGCTAAACTACATTTGCATGGAGAACCCCACCTAATTCATGTATGGTCGCAATAGCAGATAAATTGCGTCAGTCTAAGGATAAAGTACAATTTGCAACTGCTTTTATGAATAATTCTATAAAAGACACAAATGTAGAGACTGAAATTCAGTAGGCACAGAAAAAGGTAAAGGACTCGGAACTATTACAGTAAACACTAAAAAAAAACATGGAAATTCTTATTTAGCCAACCATATTTTTTTTCCTTTGAGTTTTTAGACTCCTAGAGAGAAACCATTTCCAGTTGAAAAGCTGTGTGATAGTATATTGAAGTAAGTATCGCCAAGGACAACAACAAGTCTTGGCAAAGCCCAGAAGAAGATGAGAAGTGAGAATGACCTTTCCTTAGAATGGCTAATAAGAAAGATCTGTTTCTGTTCTCATTGCAGAAAGAGCCCGCAGACCCTTGGATATGTTCCAGCTGTGGAGGCACTTTCGCAACTTTTGCTTTGCTGGAATCTCACCAGTGCATCCATAAAGACCGAGTCCTTACCACCAGGATCAGACCACCAAATAAACTGGGACCCATAAAAGCAAAAAGCAAACTCAAAGGGAAACTGAGAGGAGCTGCATTAGGCAAAAGCATTGCTCAGTGCTTTGGGACCATTTCCTCTGCTGCAAAGCTTAGCTGTGCCAGCTCAGGAAGCCCTTGTGATGCCCTTGTGAGGCTTATACCTAAATGGAGAAATGGCCGGTCTTCACTCTTGAAGGGAAGAGAAGTGAAGCAGCCAGCCAGTTACCCTTGCCGACTCTGTGGGAAGATATTCGATTCCATTAACAAGCGCAGAGTCCACAATTACGTGCACAAAGCGGAGCGCCCCTACAAGTGTTCACAGTACGGATGCACAAAAGCCTTCATTTCCAGATATAAACTGCTCAGGTACAGCTCTAAAGGCACTCCTTTTCTGGTGGGGGTGTGAGGAAAAAACAAGGACATCCCTTTAATTTGGGGTGTCCTAGTGACGGTTAATCCCAAAGTTCCAGTTTTTATTATTCCTGGTTTGGTAGAATTGGAGAAAACTTAGTAGCAATTGCGGCGGCTACTCAGTAAGATTACGTTGAGCAGTTTTAACCTACTCTGTGCTTTAATGCCTTCCTTCTCCCCCCCAAAAAGTTAGGCTGTTACTAATAATCTGAGAACTTGTGAAAATGCCTTTCTTCAGGAATGACAATTTTTTCAAGTCTTATAGCTGCCAGAGTAAAGGTACTAGAGTAAATGTAAATGCAGATAACTTTTGGTGTCTATTTTTTTTTGTCTTAGGCACTCAGCCATTCATTCTCCACAGAAGTCTCACCAGTGTGGCTACTGTGAAAAGACCTTTCACAGGAAAGACCATCTAAAGAATCACCTTCAGACTCATGACCCTAACAAGATGGCCTTCAAGTGTGAAGAGTGTGGCAAGAAGTACAACACCAAGCTAGGCTATAAGAGACACTTGGCTCTTCATGCAGCCACCAGTGGGGACCTTACCTGTAGGGTATGTGCCCAGGAGTTTGGTGGTACTGAAGTTTTGTTGGAACACCTTAAAAGCCATGCAGGGAGACCAACTGGCAATACAAAAGAAAAGAAACATAAGTGTGACCACTGTGAGCGTCACTTCTATACTCGTAAAGATGTGCGGCGTCACATGGTAGTTCATACAGGCTGCAAAGACTTTCTGTGCCAGTTTTGTGCCCAGAGGTTTGGGCGGAAAGACCACTTGACTCGCCATACTAGGAAGACCCATCCACAAGAACTGCTGAAGAGCAGGTTGCAGAATGGTGACTCAGTGGGTCTCCTTGACCAGCTTTTTCCACTAAGACTGAAACAAGATGCCAGCATACTGTCCCCTTTTCCTGAAAGTGTCTCTGTGCAAAATGGGATTTTGAATAGTTCACAGTCAGAGGAATACATTCTTCATTCTCAGCCAAGCTTACCAACTGCCCTTCCTCTTGACCCTTCTCCTCACTTGCAAAGGATGGGCTGTGCAGACAACCTTCCAGCTGTCCATACCACACCGTGCTCAACAGCCATTCCTACCAACCTGAACCTGCATCAGCCTAATAAATACGACCTTAGTTCTACCTCATTTGCAGCAGGATCCCTCAAAAGTCTACCGATAAAAGTGGATGTTAAAGGTTATAATGTGCATCTTCCTGAGGACCTGCCATTAACAGAACCTCAGTCTCTCCACAAAATCAGTCTGGAAGAAGCTTCCTCAGGGCCTGTAGGGGATACTAACAAGTACCCAGTGCACAAGGAGACAGAGGCAGCAGCTGAAACTACGAGCCTGCCTTTCATGGATCTCACTCATGTGATGAGTTTCTGGCAGCTCCCACCAGGTGACAACCAGAACACCACTGGGGACATCACAATGGCATTTGGTCCAGAGGAACCATTACACAGGCTGAATGGCCTTGGCCAACAGCAAGGTCTTCAGCTAGCAACTGGTGGGATGGCCATAAACCAGCTGCATCATCTTCCTCGCTCCTTTCCATCCACTACAAATTCTGTAACATTGCCTCATTTTCATCATGCCTTCAAATAACTATCACCATGGTTTGAGGGGTTTTTTTTCCTTCTTTTTTTTTAAGACTCTGCTTCTTACTTAAAGCTGTTAGGATGGGGTGGTTCTGGTTTCGTTTTGAACAAAAACTTCCCCGAGTGTTTTCAAAGCATATTACAAACATGGCTGGTAGTCAAATTCAGGATATTAATAAACAAGAAGCTCTATTTTTCATACTACTATTAGTTTTTTAGCATATTATGACAGTAGTAGAGTTAACCTATTTCCCTCAACACCCTCTATATTTTTGTTTCTTACCCTTCACACAAACAGCTGAATAAATATCTTCAGTGATAGCAAGGCATTGTTACAGGCACAATAAACCTATGGCTGCTGCGGTAGGATAAGTAGGGTTAGGGTGAATGGGAAGAAGGGGGAAATCACAGAAAAAATAACGAGCCATAAATCACAGCATATTTATACACATGGCAAATGGAACAAACGATTTATCAACATCTCATAGATTTCTGTTAAGCATTTAATTACTGAACTTGATGAATCTTTAATTCAAATCAGAATCATCCCAAGAGTAAATCTTACCTCCTTGTTCCCTTTTTTTTTAAAATGAAGGGGATCACTTTTGTGATTATGCTTGACTAGATTTTGTTTTCTGAGGTGCACTTCAGCTGTGTGCATCATCTGTATTTTTTCCTAGGGTTGGAAATAACTACCACTTCTGCATGACTGAGTAACAACTAATGTTTTATGTGCAGTTGTCAGAATGGGAAGAGAATTTTCTCAAAAGTTAGAGCAAAACATTAATTTTCACTATGAGCAGAATCTGGCAAGATATCAGACACTGCTCGCTCTCTCTCTTGTAAATCACTTAAGCATTTGCTTAAATTGAAGCATTTGTTATCCCACTGGGTCAACAGTTTGATTTAACACTCAATAATAAATAATGCTTCCTACCTAAGGGGCCTGTATTCACCTTTTGTTTATAAAAATGGCCTGTGTTTAGTCCAGGAAGTGACTATTACTCATAGCCATCTGAAATGTGGATTTCTTCATGGAAAGCCAGCCCTGGCCTATGGGAGCCCGTGCCCAAGCAGGATCTCTTTGGGGCCAGGGGCAGGTCCACACAGAAGGGTTGTGGTGGTGAGCTGACACTGGGTCCTGTTTGAAACCAAGTTATGAACCTGCCTCACAAGTGTCGCCTGAAATTAGTAAGCATAATAATAGTTGAGGCCAGTTTAATCCCAGGGAGTTTGCTCAGTAACACTGGGACAGCTGGAGTTGGGCTTCCAGCCTTTGTTTCTTCCAGCTTTGTTTCCTGGGGTGAATTGTCCATGTAGATTTCCAGTTGACGGTGTGTTGGTGTGACAGTCCTATCACCTGATGCATGAACTAGCAAAAGCCGAATCTGCCAGTAGATGACATTAAAAACAAACAACAACAAAACCAACACAACTCCACAAACCAGCCACGTCCTTCTCGGTTGCCTTTCTTGCTTAACCCATTATTATAAATAATATAAAAATAATCCTAGTTTTAGTGGGTAACGCAGTTACTAAATGGATTCTGTTGCAACTAAAACAGACACTTTCTGAATCAGAGTAAATTCTCAAACCCCAAGAGCTACTCCTCCATTAAACCAAGAAAGAGTTAATAGTACCTAATGATCATTACAAATACAGCGCAAATCATGGTCTCTTCTCCCCCATTAATCACAGGAATATTTCTAGACAGCTTCAAATCAAAAATGCTTTTTAAATGATTGCTGTTAATGAACTACAGTGACATTGTACGTGAACTACAATGATCTGGATATTGTTACAATGTTATCAGTACTTGGATTAAGGAAATGTATTACTGCAGTTCATGCGAGAGTGTGTTCTTTGGCGACACTGCCGAGCAGTACTTTTTGTTATGAAAACTTTTGGCATAAGACAAGCCAAAAGGAATTTTAAAAATCATTCGTGTAATGACAACAGCAGGAGGCAGAGCAGGTGCTGCACAGTCATGCCCAGTTAGCAGTGATTTAAATTACAAGGTCCAGAATAGGGGGAAAAGGTTGCAAACAAAGTTAAATGCACATTCTACAGCTAGGCTTGTATTTTCATCAGGGCTTGGAAAGTTGTGTGCATATTCCTTTAATTCATAGTTTTCCTTGTTCATGCAAATTGAATTCACTTGGCTTCATCTAAGCTTATGTACTTGTAAAAAAAAAAACAACAGATAACAAACACAACAAAAAAAACCACAAGTTCTGTAGCACTGCTCGATCATATACTGTTAATAGACATTTTGTCATTTTGGTTTGCACTTCTGTAAGAGGTGTAACTAATTACAGAAATACTTGTCTTTGAATTGAAACGTGATGTTAAAATGAAAATGTTATGCAAATACTGAGCTAGACTGGAGCCCACATTCTTTCAATTGCTTGACTGCAGGCGGGTGCCTGAGCTCTGAGCTGCTAAGGGAGGTACTGCTGCCTGATGATGTGTTGGTGAGAGATGCTTACTGTATGTAACTACAGGTTAACAAGTCTCATTCAAATAAGAAGAAAATAACCACTTTGATATTAAAATGCTTAAGAAGCACTTGATGGTGTCTACAGCTACACAGATCCAAACTTTAAATGTGTAACAACAGTACAGATTTATCCCTTCAGTCCATTCAAATCTCTTTTTCCAATTCTTGACATCGTAAATGCAGATGAAGCTGATGACGTCTCATCACAAAGGAAGGGAAGTTATTTCAGAAGGTTATGTTTGCAGAAAAATGGTTTTGTTTCAAAATTGTCACAAGTCAGGAGATCCCCTAAGTCATCTAATACTTCAGAGTAGGGCTGGACTTTCCCATAGCTTTTGTCAGGGGGATTTCTGTGGCATTCTTGGGAGGCCAGCAGTAGCTGAGGTTCAAGAATGCTTTTTTTTCCCTGAGCAAACAAATACTTTGGGCTCGGTAGACCTTCCTGTTGTGCACCTGAACACCTCACTGGTGAAAGAGCGAGTTTGCCTTTGGTGGTGGTAAGATCATAGGCCTGCCAGTGCTAAAAGAGAGGTGAGGAGACAGCAGCAAGTCTGCCTGGACTCACCTGAGGTGTCCAAGAGGATGCGGTGGTGGCAGGCAGGCATGGCTTCAGGCAGTGACAGTGGAGAAGGTAGCAAGAGCTGCAGGACATCTGGTGGCACTGCCTTTGGCTCACGCAGGGCTGCAACAGCACCAGTGAGGGGAGAGGCAGCCAGAGGCATGGTGGAGGAAGAAGGCAGTGCGCAACCTGTGGTCGGTCCTCCCTCCTCTCTGGCACATCCCTCCTCTGAGTGGGAGAGGAGGATGCAAGGGCAGAGAGGAGCATGGGAAACGTAGGATGGACCATAGATTAGCAGCTAAGAGACGGAACAGAAAGATCTGACTCACACCCTGACAGAGATAAAAGTACTCTTGTATCTGAACTCTGCTTGAAAAATCTGTAGAAGTGGAGCAACGTGTGGTGGTTAACAACAAATTACTATAACTGATACCATAAAAGAGCAAAACTTAATAAACATTTGGTCTCATACAAAAAAACTAATAGTTTTGTATATATATAAAAAAAAAGGAGCCATGTAAACCTGCTGAAATAAGGAGCTAAAATTATACTACATAGAACAAAAGACTCTGCAGCCTCTATGTAAACAGAAGTATTGCTAATGTTCAGTTCCCATCCCCATCAGAAGCTATGCTCATTCCTTTTTCCTGCAGTTTTATTTACCAACTATTGCTGTTGGGACTCTTCCTTTTCTTAACCAGTGACTTGCTGTTAGTTCCAGAGTTTTTCACAGCCAGTCTGACACAGGAGGGCATGTTCTTTGTATTAATGATACATTTCCTCCTAACAGAATTTTTAAAGTACTGTCCTTCAACACACCATTCCTCCCTCTATTTTTTCTATCAGATACTGGAAAATGAGCTGTGAAGTCCAACACTAATACACACAGACAGAAAATAATGGGAGAACAACAAGACCTACAGTAAAACTTGCTCTAACTTTTCAGGATTCATTTAATTGGTTGTAAAAGACAGCGATTATGGTAACATTCCCCAGGAGAGTTTGTTTGGTTTTTTTTCCTCTTTTTCCTGTATTGAATAAAAGGCTAAGCACTGCTTTAATGTTTTTGGGCTAATTTTGTGCCTGCTGTTTCTAAGAAGTCTAGCTCTAGGAGTTAAACTTGCTTCAGTGTCATCCTTTCTGTATTTATCTGATCACTATTGGCTAGAGTCTGAGTAGACTTTAATGAAACTCTGTAAAGTCTGATATTTATTATTGCTGTGTCCAACTACTTCTCATCTTCATTTACTTTATAAACATTTAATAGGCAAGAAAATTCCTTATGCATTTTAATTGAAAACCTTACTGGAAATTGTTGGGCTAAAAGAAACCCGACCTGTTGTAACGCTGGGAGTTTATCAAGGTGATCCAAGACTGTTACAGGATCAGCTGGCCAAAAAATAAGAAGGGATCTGCCTCCACAACATTTCTGCCTTATCAATCAATTTCTGAAAGTAATTAAAGTTTTTAATGCAAAAACGAGATTTGGTTTTAGTGTGAACTTGATGTGCTTTGAAGCTGATGCACGGCATACATGGCCATTTATCACTTACCAATCACTATCATTGATTGTTTACTGGAAGATTCTATTAAATACATTCATGAAATTAAAAAATGTTCATTTGTTTTGTTCAATACATCAAAGTAAAGCATTTGGAGGAAAAAAATAGTCACATGATACTGGATCTCCCTACATTTTCTTAGAACCATTGGAGGGCACCACTGGCAATGTCCCTCCCCTTTGTAGCCAATCAGTTAATTACACTTCAGCAACTGATGATACAGATAATCTCACAACTTTAAAAAGGACAGCATAAGAAGCTTTGTGCCTGGGGGGAAAGAGGGAAAGAAGATGGTGAACTCAGTTTGCTGATTTTATTTAATGTGGTAGCTGTAGCACTTTGGGTGGAAGAGGTGCTGGAAGATTTGAGTTGCTTAAGGTCTTCTATAATGCATCAGAGGAAAACCTTAACACAGCCTTGCTGACCAGCCACTCTATCTTCTGTTGCGCATTTGCAGTCTGAAAGCAGCAACAAGCCACATACTTGTTACTTGTATAGAAACTGCTGTTGTATTTTACTCCACAGTATCTAAGAAGATTAAACCGTAATCCCTGGGAAGGTTTATGGATGGAGCAACTCATCCTGGAAACTACTTCCAGGCACATTAAGAATGAGAACATTTATTTGCACCACTTGAAGCCAGTTTCTCACATCTGCTTTCTCACCTAAAAAGCACTCTTGGGTAGCACTGGAACTGATCTCTCACTAGCTCAGAGTGCTCTGTAAAGCACCTGGCAATGCTCAAGTTTTACAGAAGAGGCAGTTGCCAACAGTTCAGCACCTACAAGCCCACACAGGCCAGTTACTTCCACAGTTCCCATAAAGAACTCTGTCCTGTATTGTGGATGCTAGTGTGGGGTGTCTGTGCTGGGGACCTGCTGGAAGCACTGGCTGTCCTAAGCCTCTGGCTGCGACTACAATTCCAGCAATTCCTGGACTCACCAGTGTCCATAGGGAAAGAGGTGTCTCCTCCCCAAGCCTGTCAAGCCCCCACTTTCACAGTTCAGTGGCTAAACCTTGAGAGCAGTGATGGCATCAATAAATCCCTATTGGTCTGCAAGACCTTGCATGATAACCATAAAAGTTATTACACTGTTAACACAGTCACAGGTAATCAGGGGAGTGGGGAACACCAGATGAGACCACTGGGTACTGTCAATAGTTTTTGCTGTAGCTGGCAAAGTCAGGGAAGTCAGTAGTGTCAATGGTGGACCGTGGACTGAACGCTCCCATGCCCATTGCAATCCTCCCAACAGCCACTGACCATCTGCAATCAAGGCAGAAAAACTCCACATAAAAGGACCCTGCAAAGACTCTGAGTCTCTGCAGCAGACTGTTTGTGCATGTTAGTATTCATCCCACGCTCTAAGCACTTTTATAAGCTCATCTCTCAGGCTCAAGATGTGTTGCCAGCTACAGGGAACATCTTGGCTACATTCCCTGCAAGGATCTCATATTCTGCAGTCATATGCATTTCACAGGGGTGCAAGATGCTGATCATCTGAGCCATCCCCTTGCACAAAAGCACCACAAACCCCTTATGCAAGGGCTGGAAGCTTTTTTTGCTGCTCAGACATGGCTCTCCGTGGCCCAAGGTGGGAAAAACACTGTAACTGCATGGACTGAAGAGCAGAAGCACCAAACACCATGGTCTGGGAAAGTAAACATTACAGAGAAGAAAGAACCTCCACACCATCATCCTGACATATTGAAATAGATGCTGACATCTTCCTCACTTGGAAGCACATGGTGAGAGCATGAGATGGGCTACCGAGGTTCGCATTATCAAACAGCAAATCTTCTCAAGACGCACATTACAAAAGAGCAGTCACTGCCTGCTTGAGATGGAGCTGCTCCAAACTAGAGACTGTGTAACAACAAAAGAATATTCTCAGCAGCCTATACTGGGGACATGAGGAGCTCTGCAAGTTTTCAGTGCAGTTGATTGCTTCAGTTAATACAAAGAAGTTCATACTGCAAACACAAGTATATCAACAAGCATATCAAGTACGTTATCAACAAGATGTTGTACATACACAGAAGCACAAAAGGTCCTTTTATGTTCTAAAGTTGAAATAATAAAAAGAAATAATTTCTTACCCAAATGCTCCTGAAGACTTCTGTCCAGTCGATGCACCCAAAGATTTTCTGGGTTTCTGTAGTATTCCTGAAGAGGTCTCTGCAGATCATTGTTAAAATAAAACATCATAACCCACAAAAATTCAACATGAAAACCAGAAATGTAGGGATCAAAGACACTGATACAAAGAGCAGTATGTGTTATCATTTGTAGGTTATACTGCAAATAACCATTAAAATAACTTTGTAAAACATCTTCTAAACATAGACTGAGTACAGGTCATGATTACCAGTAGCAATGGGTGCTATCAAACACATTATATGGTATCCTGCTTAGAGGGAACTGGTTTAGGGATGTAGCAATGTTAATTTTAAGGCTGAATTAACAAGGGGAAATTCATATAGAACAAACAACATAAAAGTCTGATGCTTCATCTAAATGGACATGATACAGAAGATGGAATGAATCTTAAAATTGAAGATTAAGGTTTATGAAGTCCTTTATGGGACAGAAGAAACCTCACACCCAGACTGCATATTTTAGTTCTATATAGATAATTCTGTTTGAGGACCTATAACTGAAAAGGCTAGGAAGTGCCTCCCGAGTACCTGCATGCAAACCTCTGTTTTTGCACTCAGCAGAATAGATGAGGATAATGACTGGGCAAGCCATTTAACATCAACAACATCCACTTGGAAATTTCTGACCTTTCTTATTTCTGACAAGTGTTGTACACGATTACGATTTCATATCCTGGGCTTATGAAAAAGAAAAAAAACAACAGCCAAACAAAGCCAAAACCAACCAAAATAAATAAATAAAAAATAGATCAATTTTTTTATTCTACCAGAAAACTGGATTCCAAAGCCCAGGATATGCTCTAAAAATGCCAACCTCTACCTCAAATACATCAGAGTTTCTTATGAGAAAAACATAGACATGGCTGAATGAACTTGTATCTGGCCTAGGTTTGTCTCGTGCACCTTCTGAAGCGGTAATGCAGCAGCTGCTGGGGGTTTCCTCTGAGTCACCAGTTGCTTACCCTGGTGAAAGAAGATCCACAATCCACACTGAACTCCAGTAACAGCCTGGTGAAGACTCCAAACCGCTGCGGAAGCAGTACCAGGAAGAAATGGGGAAAAAGATGCACCCCTCCCACTTGGACACTTTTTTCCTGCCCAACATAGTAAAAAAGCAGTAAGATTTTCAAACATATTAAAGAGAATCAGTACCCTCCCAAAGGAACTGCTTACATTACTTTGTTTTTTTTTGCATAAAATAGGCGCTCACTTCAAGAAACCGCTGACGAGCTCCACTTTGCTGATCCCCAAAGTGGCTTAGCCCCTTGGCCTTGTGTCTAGCCACCAGGGAATAAATCATCTGCAGGGAACAGCAAACCTGCCAACAGCAGGGAGCCCTAAAGAACAGGAAGAATTTTCCCTATGTATTGCAAAAGCTGACAGGTTCCCGCTTCCCTACAGCTGTTACCCTGGAATCCATTCACGGAACAGTCTGAAGAAACTGGTGACCAACTTTCTTGTACTACCGTATTCTGGTATGGTAGTACATACCATATAACTGGAGACAAGAGACTTCAGTTTGGGGAAACCCTTAGCTGGTATTCACCATGTATCTTAAGAGTTTACCAACTTCCCTGGAATCTGAACTTTTATAATATAGGTCTTTACTCACCCTAAGCTACAGTTTAGCGAATCTGCCTCCAAGACAATGCAAGTATGACTGTGCTTACCACTGGTCTGGTGGTCTTTGCAGCAAACGCATGGCAGATGGCTTGTTCTTCACAGAACTTTATGTGCCTCTCTGCTGCAGCTTCATTAAATCTTTGTGAGCAGTGTGGACACTGAATATAATCTGGCCATAAGAAAGGAACAACTTGTGTCAGTTTATATGCTACAGGAGAAGGATTGCCTTGCTTTACTGGAGCACTCAAGATGCAGTTGAGAACCTGGCACCACCAGCAGGTGACCATGGTGAGTTCCCATCAGCTCCAAAGTACAAACTTTGGAGAACTACAAAAACCTCCTCTTGAAAAGCACTTGGGATCCTAAAATACATGCTTACAGTATTGAACCAGCAAACAGTATTTGCTTTCAAAACTAAATCCCTGGGGATTGATACAAGCAGATTTTATTATCTTTGTCCTATTCCCACCCCCAGTCTCACAATTAACAAGTCTGCAGAAAAAGCATTATTCAGAAGTTCTGGAGTAGCCAAACCCAATGATTTTAAGACTTTTGGAGATTGGTCATCAAGATTTCTCTTTGGCAAAACACTGCTGAAGTTGTGCCCCACCAGCAGAGCCACATCCAAGAGCCAGGTTTCTGGGTGTGAAGCAGCACTGTGAAGAACACACAGCAGTGCTTTACAGAGTCAGTTTTGAGTTTTACAGTTCTTATTCTAGTAAAAGCTATTCAGTGACATTTACCACTGGTGCAGTCCTATCTGTTTCAATGAACAGTCAATGTTCAGGGACAACACATTCAGCCCTTTCATCCCTCTCTCCATTCTCAGACCTCTCCCCCCGACCAATACTGACCAGTAAAAAACAGGCTGTAGCAGACCAAAAGGTGCTTAAGAGGGACGAGAATTGACACTATCACCCACACCTTCCCTTCTCCTCTGCTTGACAGATTCTTCTTCTTGCTTTAAACCTCTGTGCACTTCCGTTTCTTTCCATAACTGATTTTAAAGGATATTTTATGTCAGTCTGCATGGATACCAAATCGGCAGCAATTTGACATCTCTGGGTAAAATTACACGCATGCATGTCCATGTGTATTTCCCTCCTCCCCAGCAATGCATGAAAAGAACCTTGTTCCTGTAAGAGCTTAAGCCTTTTGCCTTCCAGCTTTGTAAATAAGTTAAATTTAAATACATTTTTAAACCCTTGAGTTCAACAGCAATGAATCTCCATAGCTCCATCTGCAGATCTGGGCTACTGGCAGCTATCAGGTACAGCCTGGGGCATTAATGCACCAACCATACAGGATCACACTCTATTTCAGATTTAAGAGCAAGCTGACACTCACATAGTCTTTAAAATACATGCACGAGCATTTCCTGGAAGTGCCCCGAGTAGTCACAACACCTACTAGTTTGGCTTCTGAATGGGGAAATATCCTCAAACAGTAGCAGCACAGGGAGGGGGAGGAAAGAATTTGGCACCAAGTCAAGCACATATGTGAGACTCATCCACAACATCCAGGCTTTGTCCTCAGAGAAAACAATAGCATTACTGTTACCTGCCATGCGTTTGCTGCAAAGACCACCAGCATTACTGATGAAAGACTTCATATGAAGATAACACATGAGCTTCAATTTCAGTTGTACCTTTTGTGGGTGCTGCTTCTTAATGGTCATGATTTCTGTTCCCTGCAGTCTCTGCTTCATAGAGCTGAAGGGCTTGTGCTTCTTGTTGAAGACTTTCCTGCATACTGGATCATGTCTCAGCTGCAATGCAAAGCAAAAAAGTCATTTATAGGTTGAAGTCACTCTTTGTTAGCAATGCTTCCTTACTCAGGCTTTAAAAATCACTGCTCTTCAGCAGCAGGAGCTGAAGCAGTATTTATTTCAGGTTCAGTTTAACTCCTAAAGGAGTTCAGCAAAACTTTGAAGAGCTGTCCAAGTACAGCTGCAGTTCCACACAAATAAGAAATAGAAGCCATTTCCAGTTCTGCTCAGGGACATGCTGGAGGCCAGCACAAATACCGACTTGCAGAGAAGAACAGACTGGGGCTGTGAACAGGAACAGTCCTGTTGGGCTCCCCATGCTCCCCAACACACTTGGTTTTCTTTTCTTCTTGGTTAAAAGGGAAAACAGGCTGATCCTGCTCAAGAGGCCTATATTTACATTATTAGTTCTCTGAATTTATATAAGTATTCCAGATCAGGGGCAAACAGCAGCACTGTCCATTCCATCACCACCACTGAAACAGTGACAGCCCCAGCCTGCAGGGAAGCAGCTACTTACCAGCACACATAACCCAACAGCTCAGGAGAACTGGGGTAACACCTGCAGCTGAGAGCACAGGGGAAGGTTAGGTAGGTAGATACTGGGTGCTGAATCTGTGGAAGAGCCACACCTCATGGCAAAGAGGTTTTAAAGTTCAGAAGCGTCTCAGATTTTAGCATCAACCTCACTCTTCTGAAACAAAATGGGCAATCCCCTTTGTGAGGAACACAGCGAAAGCAAGGACCAATCTACCTCCTTCTCTTTTGTACTGTGGACCACGCCTATTTGAGACCACCTGCAGCTGCTAAATTAGACTTCTTTCTTATCTTCCTTTGCTTACTCCCCTTTCCAGTTCTCAGTTACCCTTCTCAATCTTTTCATTAATTTCTCTAGGCCATCTACTCTCTTCCTCTGAGAGTTAAGCAGCTGCTTGCATTTTGGTTACAGCTCAGCTGGGCCAAAACCACCTCATTTCATTACAGCACACACTTCTAAATTCCCATTTCCCTTTGAACCTTTCTACTCATGTGATTCAGGTCCTTATCTTCTGATTCTAGATATTTTTGATGGCAAACCTAAGGATTCCTCTGCAGGACCAAGAGGGCAGCAGACACCTGCCAAGCAGGTACTGAGGACCATGCCAGTCCTGCATCACCAAGGCACAAGAGAGGCATTACAGGACTTGTATCACGCTAGTCACAGTAACAAGAAACTTCCTGTCTCCCTCAAAACATAGACAGCTGTCTGCTCAAATGATTTTGTTAGAGTAAACCATCATGTTCTTCATGTATCTGATCACAGGTACCAAACACAGAACTACTAACACAGGGTATCTCCACCTTCATCTCAGCACTCATAATCACTCAGCTTCCAGTGTACTTTTATTGTCTGTTTTTTGGTTTTTCACTAAATCAGATTTTAGTTCTGTCGTGGGGCTGATCTCATCTACCACAGAGCCACAGGATCAGTAATGCAAACTGAGGAGGGGAGGGGTGCATGCAGAGCCCACCCGTTGCAGAAAAACCCTGCTGTTGGGTTATGCCAGGCAAACTGTGCAGCCACCCATTTAGTTTGTAATCCAGGGATCAGGGAGGTCAGGGGGAATCTTTTCATTCATTTCAGCAGGCTTTGGAACAGAGCCTGGTGCCCACATTATGCTGTCAAAGGGACTACTTATCAGATGGTTTATTAGTCTGTTTTTCCCAGGAAGCCTGAAATAACAAGTTCTGCCTAGAAACTTGGAGACCAAAGAAAGTTTCAGGTTAGGAATTTATGTCTCACCAAGCGATAATGTAATTTTAAACACAATCTATAGTAATCACCTGGTTTTGGGCAAGCGGGTAAATGAAGATTCGTGCACACTCAGTAATTCTCTAATCAAGCTCATTTAATTCATTTAATCATTTATCAGATCATTTGCTCTTTCAACATGCATTTAACCCATTTCTCTACTAGCAGCCACCTCCTCCTTGCCCAGTGCTCACCACCCTTCAGCTGAACTCATCAACATTCCTCATTAACAGTTCCATTAAAAAAAACTAAATTACCAGGACATCTTGTGCAAAACATCTTCCACAGGTTCTGCAAGGAGCCAGATCTTGACTTCGAGCAACTGCGTGAAATGCAAACCGTGCAAGAGTCTCAGTTACACGGTACAAGATGGCTTGACTAGAGCAGAGTCAGCATTTGGCCCGAGCCCTTGCTGCAACAGTATTTCACTGTCAAAAGGGACACGTCCTGTCATCTGCCAGGGCTCCCTTTCAGAGTTACCTGATTTACTTTGCTCCTACGATGCACAAGCTCACCTTTACTACAGTGGACAGCTGTTTTCCACATGACTGCTCAGGTACGTCCTTTCACAATGACATCATGGTTGGATGAGGTGATGGAAGAGTACTCTAGCTCCTTGCTGCATGAATTCAGGGAGGAGGGCTGCTGGAAAGCTAGAGCAGGTGACTTGCACCTCTATTTATCCCAGTTCATCAGGAGCCAGCAATACCCAGAAATGGCTTGGCGTAAACTGTCGCTATTCCAGAAAGCTGTAGGTGTCACATTAAGTGTGATGCAATCCTCATTCTTAAGACTGAAGTTTCCGTAACATGCCAGACAGCATTCCAAGATTATCTTAGTTTGTAGATGTCAAATTTGTGGGGATTTTTTTTTTTAAATCTTTTTTTTTTTTTGAAAAAAAGAATTAAAAGATTTTTAAGTTACACAGAAAGTAGATTTAAAGCCTTTCTGACTCCAATGGCAGTCACATACTCTCATTTCAGAGCAGGGACATGACTTGTATTAAACAAAACCAGCTTTCAGGAAAACTTCAACAATAACTAAGATCCCTTTTCACAAGGTGTGCAACCTACAGAGAGAAAGACTTCAAATGCAAGTGTTCCTTACCTGCTCTTGCTGAGACAAAAGAAACCTTGTCTTACTGATCAGATGTGTGACTGCTTTTGTTTCTTTCCTTTTCCTTCAGATTTTACCGTATTCCAAGGCACCGAGTTAAGGTTACTACAGTGTTTCATTGATGACAAGTGTAGAGAAACAAAGCAATTCTATAACCTTTTTGAGGCTTACTCTGTTTAAATGTCTTTTCACTTTTGTTCCCCAGCAACGTATTTCTGTGCTTAGTCTGGAATATCATCTTTCTTCCAAGTGTCTTCCTCTGCGTCCCCCACCCTTTATTCTGTTCTCATCCCCTCAAGGATTTGGCTGATACAGCTTACTCTGTTGTTCTGTTTGGTTTTTTTTTGAAAAAAGAGGGAACTTAGGCATGAACACAGTTATCAGGGAATAAGCAATGAGAAGTCAGGGAAAAGGATAATTCACCACAGATTAGTTACTTTAGACACGTAGCACAGCAGATAAGGACTAGCAAAGAACATGTGCACTGTCTTTATTAAAGGCTCTCTTTTTCTGTAAGTCACAGAACCACATGCCACCCAAAACACTGAGCAGCATCTGTTACTCGTTCCATTTCCATTTAACTACTTACCTGGTATCTGACTCATCTCAATAGAATGGTTTCTCAGATGTCCTCTTCTGTGTTGCTGTCAGGAGCCATGAGTACTAGCTGGTGTCTTCTTTACTCAAGAGCTTGCTATTCTACATTACCACACATCAGCATTACGTAATTAACAATTATGACACAGGCAGACCTTCTTTAAGCCTGTGAAGCACATGAAAACTAGCGCAGGTATTGGCTAAATGAAAACTTGTTCTAATCTTACAGGTGCTTCTTACTGATTTGGTTAACACAGTCTCTTTGACAATTTCAGAAAATGCTTAATCCAGATGTGAAAACTCCATTGACACTTCAATTTCCTGAGCAGTGACCAAGAGATTTTTAAATAGAATCATAGAATCATAAAATAGTTAGGGTTGGAAAGGACCTTAAGATCATCTAGTTCCAACCCCCCTGCCACGCCTGTTTATTCCCTTCATTAAAATCATGTTACTTTATCAATATATTATAAAAGCCTTCTCCAATAAAAACAAGTACTTTGAACTGTTTCTGTACATTAAAAGGCCTCATCAGTCCTTCTGCTGTATTTAAACATAAGGGAGAGAAGAAACACAAATATATTGCTTTGTAAACTGAGATAATTTAATAGAAGAATTTAACCAGATAGATCATTAAGATTCTGCTGATTTGTTGAATACATATACAAATATGTATATAAAACTTTGTCCAGTGATAGTTTGTAAGAAAAATACATTTCTTATAATTTTAATACCTTTCTATTTTAATGAAACTCTGCAAAAGTTGCCAGGTCACTCACGACCGAATAGACATCAGATGGTTTTATGCATAACTGCATTTCAGAAAGAATAACAAGTTACTGGTTCTTGTTACAGTAGTATGTGAATAACCCCCCTGGAGCATGACTGGCAAAGCTATGAGTTAGCAGTTCCCTTCTCAATACAAATGAAAACTTGAGGTTGTTTTCAAAGAAAGTTCCTCAGTTTCATCAAGACAGCTTCAGTCCTTGAACGTTCTGTTTCAGATTGAGCAACTCTTTCTCTTGCCTAGTTTTCTCCAACTTGAAGGCTAGCTTGTTGGCTTTCTTTTCCTTCCTGCGCTCCTGTGAGTACCAATAATTACAGATTTAGAAAATAGGCATGACATGCAAGAAGAAGCCATTCAAATTAACAGTTCTAGATCATGAAAACAGCAGCAATCTGGACAAGAATATTATTTATGGCACTCATTATTAGCAGTCAAATCATGTACCACGAAGATTACCATCTTTAATCAGCTGAAGCTTCTGATATGCTGGCAATTTCTGTTCCTAAATAAAACAGCTAGTATCTCATAGTGGCAAATCAGATTTCCCACATTTCTTTCAGAGCTTTTTTACTTTGTGTGATCTGAAACATCACAACTGTTTCCTTTGCCTCCCTAGAAAATTAAATGCAAGGGCTCCTTCCAGTGTTATTGTGGCCACAATTACATATATAACAGTCCCAAAATTAGGATGACAAAATGATGATGTTAACTTTCTTTCCAGTGGATATTTTAAAGAACCAGTAACCAGTCTTTTGAGACCAGCAGGTCTTTCCCATTGACTTCCAGGCACAAGAACAAGTGAGCTTTAAAAAAGTTTGTGAGACAGAATTCAGATAATGTAACACGTTTTTGCAGGTTCTTATTTAAAACAAAGTATACCTTTCGCTCCTCTTTTATTGCCTGTTTTCTAGCTCTGCGATCCTCTTTGCTCTCATCTTTGGAACGGGGCTGTGTTGATGCTCTTGGCAAGTCGCTGCCATTAATCATTTGCATGCGTTCAATCTGCTTAGCAGTAAGATGTTTCTGAGGCAAGATGTGTAGAGGAATTCCAGTCTTCTGGGAAATTTTTATGGGTTTGGGCTAAAATAGAGAGCAGATTATGTATGAATGGCCCCCAGCTCTGCCTGCAAGGAATGCACACCACACTGCCTTATCAGTATAAAAACATTAGATTCAGATTTAACAGTAATAAACATGGAAGTTTCCTCACACTATTTTCTTCCCTCAGAAAAACGCACATTAATCCCTAAGAAAGAAATCAACCTGTGAAGAGAATCTGGCCTCCCAGAATAAGAAAAAAAAATATATAATCTTTTATTTAAATATTACTAAAGGCACTTAACATTCCTTTAGAAACTTCCACAGAAAAGGTTTCCTTTCACAATTTCAAAGATCAAGCTATGTTCCAATGATGGGGAATGTCTAGAAGACCAAAAGAACTAGAAGAAATTGTTTCAAACTGTAGCAGGGAAATTAAAGTGTATTTTCAAGAAAAAAAAACAAGCAATGTGTGCTTGTGAGACACAGATTACACACGCGCATATCACAGGTAACAAGAAAGTCAACTCCGCACTCTGCACTTCTGCCCTGCTATTACAGAAATTTTGAACTTAAGCTATTTTCCTTTTACTAATAGAAAAAATATACCCAAACACTTCTTCAGTACAGAGGTAGTATCAAAGTTAACACCCTCCCAGCCCTCTTTTCTACTCCTTCTTTTAAAAAACAGATATCCATTGAGAAAACAATCATTTTGGTCTCAAATTTTTCCAGGCCAGGATATTACTCAGAGTTAAGTTTGATGATCTTACCTTTGATGGCTCCTTAATAAGTGTTGGGTGATTATATAAGTTTGAGTATGTACCTAGGTCACAAAAAGAAATAGTAGTGAAGGCTTGCAAACAGACTTTAGGTAGATTTATTATGAATTGTGTTACTACTTAGTCCTTGAAAATTCACAAGCATTAAGTATTTTATCTAAAGCACTGTCAGAAAAGTTCTGAGATCACCTATTGTTTACTTTGAAATTCTAGGAAGACACAAGAGAACTCCAAAATACTTACTCAAAATGGATTCACAATCCCATTTTTCTTTTGGTTCCTCAACAACTACAGTTACTATTTCTTCGTCTTCACTTTCCTCATTCACAGGAGAGTCTAAATCTTCACAAGGTTCAAGAGTATCCAATTTCACGCAACTTTAAAGTCCAAAGAACAAAAAAACTAAGGTTTATCTTCTATTGAAAATGTGTAATTATGTTAACCTGGTGTTCGCTCAGTAAAACCCCAAACTAAAGAAAGCTACTTCCAATGGAACTTGCAGCAAAGTCAAGTTTCCTTAACTAAGCACCCACAAAATACACTAAAACATCAGGACAAGAGATACAGTCAAGAAAAGTATTACGGCATTTTGTATGTGACACATAATATTTGTGACTGGAGGACCGGAAGAGAAGAGGATATACTTTTTAGTCTGTAAGCAAGGCAGCTCTGGAGGAGAATATGTACTCTGCTACTAGCCAGTCATCTTTCACCGCAAGGGACACACTACTGTATCTTTCAATCAGGAAACACAAGACTAATGTGAGAACACTTAGTCATTTAACTTTGGGATATTATCACCTGCTTTAAGACAAAGTGAATACACTATGGAGATGTAGTCTTCCAGGGTCACAGGGCTGCTTTATAAGCACTAATTTTTGCAGTGCCACAACAGCAATAATAGTCACTTGTGAGTTTATTATCATGAAACTAGGTATACAATGGAATCAGCTGCACACCAGCAGGACAGAATATACTTTGCTAGAACAGCAAAAAACAAAGGTAAAGGTGTAGGGAGAAAGGTAAGTTACGCTAAAAAGGCAAAGGAAGAAAGTTTCTATTACTTGCA